GGCGGGCGGGTGCGCGAGGGAGCACTCTCTGTGTGCTTCCTCTTCAGCTCCCTCGCGCGCCGCGTACTGATGCCGGAGCCGGAAGATGACGTCATCTTCCGGCTCCGGGATCAGTACGGTGCGCGAGGGAGCTGAAGAGGAAGCACACAGAGAGTGCTCCCTCGCGCGCGGCCGGGTGTCAGCAGGGCCAGCCTCTGGGGGCCCTGAGGTGACCGGCTGCTGGGCCCCCCAGGAGAAGAGGCTGGCCCTGTGGGTACATACCGGGTCGCAGGGCCCCCTGCGCCCCGGTATGTACCCACTGAATGTGGGGCCCGGATGACCTGAGCAATCCGGGCCCCCCAGGACCGCCGGGCCCATGACAACCGTTGCGGTTGTCATGCCCTGATGGCGGCCCTGATTTTCATTAAGGGCCCACACCCTGCCTATCATGGGCCAGGGGGTGGGGGAGGACAATATTCCCCCTTATTGTAATTTAGGGCCCACACCCGACGCTCAGGGGTGGGGTGCCGGAGGGGAGGACAATAGGTCCCTCACTCCTTATTGTAATTTAGGGCCCCCATCTGCTGCTCAGGGGTGGGGGCTGAGGGGGAGGACAGTAGGTCCCCCCCACATTTGCATTTAGGGCCCCCACCTGCCGCTCAGGGGTGGGGGCCAGGGTGGGAGGACAATAGGTCCCCTCCCTTATTCTAATTTAGGGCTCCTAACCGCCGTTCAGGGGTGGGGGCCAGGCGTGAGGAAAAGAGGTCCCCCCTTATTGTTATTAAGGGCCCCCACCTGCCGCTCAGAGGTTGGGGCTGGGGGGAGGATAAAAGGTTCCCCCCTCTTATTCTAATTTAGGGCCCCCACCTACCGCTCAAGGGTGGGAGCCAGGGTGGGAGGACAATAGGTCCCCTCCCTTATTCTAATTTAGGGTGCCCACCTGCCGCTCAGGCGTGGGGGCCAGGCGTGAGGAAAATAGGCCCCCCCCTTATTGTTATTTAGGCCCCCACCCGCCACCTAGGGGTGGGGGCTGGGGAGAAGGACAATAGGTTCCCCCCCTTATTGTTATTTAGGGCCCCCATCGGCCGCTCAGAGGTGGGGGCCGGGGGGAGGACAATAGGTCCCCCCTTTATTCTAATTTGGGGCCCCCACCCGCTGCTCAGGGGTGGGGGCCAGGGGGGAGGACAATAGGTGTGTCCCCACATTTTCATTCAGGGCCCCCACCCGCCCCTCAGGGGTGAGGGTCAGGGTGGAGGACAATAGGTCCCCCCCTTTATTGTTATTTAGGGTGCCCACCTGCCGCTCAGGCATGGGGGCTGGACAAAAGGTTCACCCCCTTATTCTAATTTAGGGCCCCCATCTGCTGCTCAGGGGTGGGGGCTGAGGGGGAGGACAGTAGGTCCCCCCCACATTTGCATTTAGGGCCCCCACCTGCCGCTCAGGGGTGGGGGCCAGGGTGGGAGGACAATAGGTCCCCTCCCTTATTCTAATTTAGGGCTCCTAACCGCCGTTCAGGGGTGGGGGCCAGGCGTGAGGAAAAGAGGTCCCCCCTTATTGTTATTAAGGGCCCCCACCTGCCGCTCAGAGGTTGGGGCTGGGGGGAGGATAAAAGGTTCCCCCCTCTTATTCTAATTTAGGGCCCCCACCTACCGCTCAAGGGTGGGAGCCAGGGTGGGAGGACAATAGGTCCCCTCCCTTATTCTAATTTAGGGTGCCCACCTGCCGCTCAGGCGTGGGGGCCAGGCGTGAGGAAAATAGGCCCCCCCCCTTATTGTTATTTAGGCCCCCACCCGCCACCTAGGGGTGGGGGCTGGGGAGAAGGACAATAGGTTCCCCCCCTTATTGTTATTTAGGGCCCCCATCTGCCGCTCAGAGGTGGGGGCCGGGGGGAGGACAATAGGTCCCCCCTTTATTCTAATTTGGGGCCCCCACCCGCTGCTCAGGGGTGGGGGCCAGGGGGGAGGACAATAGGTGTGTCCCCACATTTTCATTCAGGGCCCCCACCCGCCCCTCAGGGGTGAGGGTCAGGGTGGAGGACAATAGGTCCCCCCCTTTATTGTTATTTAGGGTGCCCACCTGCCGCTCAGGCATGGGGGCTGGACAAAAGGTTCACCCCCTTATTCTAATTTAGGGCCCCCACCCACCGCTCAGGGGTGGGGACCAGAGGGGAGGACAATAGGTGTCCCCCCACATTTTCATTGAGGGCCACCACCTGCCCTTCATGAGTGGGGGGCCGGGAGGGGACGATAGGTCCCCCCCATTGTCATTTAGGGCCCCCACCCGCCGCTTTTTTAAATGTATTTATTACTTTTTTAATGTGTGTGGCTGGCTAAATAACCCTCCCAGAGCCAAAGGTTTTGGACTATTTACTCTGTTGGTGTTGGCGCTGCTAATAGGCAAATAGCTTTAATTTTTATATTATTTTTTATCCAGGTCAAGATTTAAACCGTTTGACTGAATTCTGGACCTAATTTAGACTGACTTAGAGCCTGAAATGGAAAAAGCAGACATTGTTAAAAAGCATAAAAAGTTAAGCCGGATGGCTAATGGCGATTCGTTATAAGGCTGTTCAGATTTGAGTTAATAACCCTGTGAGTAAATAACCCTGTGTGTAATTCTCCTATATAGGACTTTTGTGAAGAGTCATTGCTTGTTGTACATCACTCAAATGCAACATTTTACAACCGACATACTCATAATGTTGATTATTTATTTTTCACTTAAGAAAATAGGCTATAACTATGTGAATCACTTAACATGGCAATCTTTCTTTTTATGCATATTTAAAGATTGCACATAAAAATTATGACAGCAGGGGATGTACATTTTAATTTACTTATCTTTATACCCGCAATAAAGAAATCTGCATAAATATTTTTTTGTCAGTTCATCTGAAGTTCCAAAGGAAGTTATTAGAACTTTTTCAGCCAACATTAAATTAACCCTTTAAAAACCATTCATGGAATTATTTTGTCATTACATTCTAGTGCTCAAGAATCATATCAAAATTGGATTTCTGGTTCATTCCATTTCTTCTGGGGTTTGTAGAGCTGCTAATGTTAAATAAGCTGAGTGTTCCATGCGTTGACAGCATGAAATGTAGCCCATGGAATAACAGAATAGGTGGAATGGGTCTTGACAGAGGTAGGGGCAGGCTTAGGAAGTAAGTGGGAAGGGGTTAGTAGGGATGGGCTTAAGGGGAGTATATTTGGCGGACATCTTAAAGATTGCCCGCTTTCTAATCTGCCTACCCTTACCTATGGTTGTGTAGGGTCAGTGTCTCTCTTTTGTCTTCCAGATGGATCCCGTGGAGGCCTTCCTGGTGAGTGTCCTTGTGATAGTGGAGCAGCGCGGCCTGGACTGGACCCAAGAAAGACTGGGGATGCCGGGGACATCGGCGGGGCCTTTATAGATGCTATCAGGCGGACCAGCGCGAATGACCAGGCCGCCGGACTGCCTAAGTCCCGTTGCCAGACCAGCAAGGAGGAGAAGAAGGAGTTCTGCCGTGGAGGAAGGAGAGCACAGGTGGAATACAAGCCGTGGAGCAGTTGGAGGTGCAGGAGCGCTTCGGCCCGTGCCCCACGTGGTTCGTGGCACAGGGCCAATTCCTTCAGGACCACGTAACTGGGGATGTAAGGCGCCCTGCCGGGAGGTGATGATCAGGAGAGGAGTCAAACCAGGACCAGCGGTGGTGGCCTCCAAACAAAAACCCCCATTATTTTTTGCCTAGATTAGGTGTTTTTAATAAAACTAACAAAATTGTTCAGCACTAAAATAACTGTTTAGTAGATAAGTGAGTGCGCTGGATTTTCATTTTTACTGTACTTATTGGCTCCCAGCAGCACCCCATTTAAGTATGTTTAGGTGAGTGCAGCCAAACTCTTGTTTTCTCCTATTTGTATATATTTAGGAGTCTAGCCAGCTCCTTGGTTTTGCACCCCTCCCTGTTACAGGTGTCTCATCTCAGGACCCTATTTAAACCTTGTACTTCAGAGAACTGGAGATGGAAGGATTTCCCCAAGTGAGTAGCTCATTTAACAGACAGAGTAGGACCTGCCAAAGATGGGGTACATTGGCGTTGTGGCAGGCTTATGCAATGTATGATCATATAATGTAACTAAACCCCCATTATTTTTTGCCTAGATTAGGTGTTTTTAATAAAACTAACAAAATTGTTCAGCACTAAAATAACAGTTTAGTAGATAAGTACGTGCGCTGGATTTTCATTTTTACTGTACTTATTGGCTCCCAGCAGTACCCCATTTAAGTATGTTTAGGTGAGTGCAGCCAAACTCTTGTTTTCTCCTATATGTATGCAGTGCTGAAAGGTGCCAGGAAGTGAAAAAAACAACACCGCTGAATGCTCCAGACTCTCTGCGAGTTGAAGGAAGGACGGCTCCCCTGCGGTCAGATGCTGCCAGGGGTCACGGAGGTGACTCACCCTCTACACAAAACACGAGGGGTTTATTGCATAGTTTACAATCTTTACTACACACTTGGAGCAAAGGGGAAGGTCAGGGAGCGCAGTTTGGGAGAGTATGGGAGCATACAGAGGGCAGAAACAGAAAAGAGACAGAGGGCAGGAGCAAAAAAGAGGTTGGGGTGCCGGGGACACATGCTTAGCTATCAAAAACGCAGGGATGGGACATGTAGACGCTGCGGGAGAAGTGGATAAGCGGACCAAATTTGGGTGTATACCAGATGCGGCACAACAGAACATGCACGTGTCATTCGCTGGTCCCTTAGGGTGTCATATCAAGCAGGACATCAAAGATAAGATTTGGCAGGGGAATTTGTAGAAATGTTTTCCCTGCTCCAGCTGGGAAGGGCTATTTATTTTAATTGTTCACACAATTTATTAAATTGTGCTCATGATTTAGTTAATCATTCCAGAGATATAAGTATATACGAAATAGAAAGTGCACTAAAACTACAGACCTGTGAGTGATACATGTGTTGGTGGGAAATAATATGAAGGGCTGTTAAAGGGACACTATAGTCACCTGAACAACTTTAGCGTAATTAAGCAGTTTTGGTGTATAGAACATGCCCCTGCAGCCTCACTGCTCAATCCTCTGCCATTTAGGAGTTAAATCCCTTTGTTTATGAATCCTAGTCACACCTCCCTGCATGTGACTTGCACAGCCTTCCATAAACACTTCCTATAAAGAGAGCCCTATTTAGGCTTTCTTTA